TTTTTGCTCAATTTCATAAATAACTTCAAATTATAGCCTTTTCTTTTTGTTTTTTAATGATATGGGATGCCTATACAATAAAAGGGTTGCCAAAGAGTGTGGAGGGGACTCTCCTATAGTTTTTGCATCAGTTGCTCCCTGGGTTAGCCCCTATTTCTGTACCCAAACCACTCCCAACCCCCTTGCAACACATTTTAGTATGGAAGCAGCTGTCCTACTGCCCTGTTAACCATACTGAAATAAGAAACATCATATGGAAATCTAAGATCCTCTTTGTTTCTAGTTGTTTCAACTGCTTGTTGTGTTCCAAATTAGTCACATCACAGAGATGCCAATAGGGTGACTTTGAGCATCATGTAAGGAAATACAAAACTGAATGTAATACTCATAAAATGCATGTTATGATTTATTTGTTTAGTATTTATACAGCATTGAGAGACATATAACAATATTTAAATACATTTAGCCTGTTTACATTCTTTTATATTCACTCAATTAGAATATTATTGAAGTGAATCTATTTCAGTAACTCAATTAACTAAGTGCAACACATCATATAAATAAGTCCCTTACAAACTGTTGTCATTAAGCCTTTATGTTTGATAAAGAACTTTTAATTTGCTATCTAAAAGGGTTTTAAGCTGACAAACTGGCCTCATTAAAACGTATCTATTTATTGAATAGGACTGTAGATGGCTTTGAGGTGGTCTCGCAAATTATTAAATGCTTACAAAAGCAGTGAGGAAACTTAACCAATGATTATTTAAGAGCAGCAGTTATGAGATGTTAATAAAGTTTTTATTTTTTAACAGCCTCTAACCAGTTTTTAATCTTTAATTGTTTGTGGTGAGAATAAAGGCTTTGATTATTTTTATTCAATTAGAAGGAAGCAGTGTGAATTGTGTTAATGCATGTTTCCAAGCGTGCAGTCAAAGAGGGACTTTATTTTTCACATTGAATCAATCATCTGGTTCTCCTTAGAAAGAAAACTTTGAACCGTCTCTGCTTCTTGAGATGACATGTCTTATAAATTGGCGCTATATAAATATATAAACTGTAAATAAACTGTTCAATTTAACTTGTTTACTGTAAAATATTACCTCTATGACCATGGTAAAACACCTATTTATTGCTCTGTGTTTAAATTCAATTCAATTCAGTTTATTTATATAGCACCAATTCACAACACATGTCATTTCAAGGCACTTTACAGTTCATTAGATCATTCAGTCAAATTCATTCAAAGTTTTCTATCTAAGGAAACCCAGTTGATTGCATCGATTGTTGACTCAAAGGCAATCCCTCACACTAAGCATGCTTGTTGCGACAGTGGAGAGGAACAACTCCTTTTTAACAGGAAGAAACCTCCAGCAGAACCAGGCTCAGTGTGAGCGGCCATCTGCAGAGGCTGACTGGGGTTCAAGGAGACAGAAGCAGAGATACAAAAAGCAACTGTAAAAGGCGGCCCCGTCCAGGAAACACACAGCCAGGCAGATGAGCTCCGAGCCAACTCCCATGTCAGAAGATGAAGAGAGCACATCCAGCCAGTCACAGTCATAGAAACAGGACTCCACTGAAAAACATGCAGATCTCCTACATCTATAAACAAAGGTGTTGATGGCAGCGATGTGATCTCTTTTTTTCATTAGAACTCTGGCTGCAGCATTTTGGATCAGCTGAAGGCTTTTAGCTACAGTTTGTGGACTTCCTGATAGTAACGAATTACAATAGTCCAACCTTGAAGTAACAAATGCATGGACTAGTTTCTCAGCATCACCTCTGGAGAGGATTCTAATTTTTGCAATATTGCGCAGATGAAAGAAGCAAATTCTGGAAAACTATTTGATAAGGGATTTAAATGACAGGTCCTGATAAAAAATATCACCACGTTTTTTTTACTTAATCTGAAATCAGTTTAATCCTATCCAAATGAAGTGACTGACTCTGGTACAAAACTTGGTGTTATTTTTGTTCAGCACATTTTGAGCACAAATTAAAGCAGTTACACACATTTTGTAACACAGGTGGTACGATTGTAAAAGGTTGGATACATTGGGGGTCCTAGACGGAGGCCAGAGGTGGACATGACTCTTGTGTTGAAAACATACACTGCAAAAAAAATTAAATATATATACATTTATTTTTAAATAAATGTATTTTCCCATGATTTCAGCAGGTAAGTTAGGTAATTTGCCATCTGAATAAGATGATTTATGTTTAAAATAAGAAAAAAACTTAATTACACATTGTTTATCTAATTAATATTGATTATCTTCTTTTTAACAGTTAATATACTAATTCTTTTGGCAAATCATCATCATTATTTATTCAAACTAATTATTATTAGTTCAAACCAAGTACAATTACCCTTTTTTAAAAGAACGTTTTCTTTATTTTTTTTTATCATTTTTTTTGGAATGTGATACGACCTGCACTTAAAGAAGAGACCGTAACAGATTTTTCCCTTTAAAATGTCGCCTTCACAATTACTTCAAAAATTATTTAGAAGTTGTAGATAGGATTAGAGTTTTCATGTGTTAGATAAGGAGTGTGCAAACTTAGCTTTGTACCTAAATTAATTTACTAAATGGTGTGGTCTTGCCCTTATTTTTTGTTTTATTTTTTATTTTATTTTTGTGCTTGTTATTCTTCTGTTCTGTATCCCATGAAATAAACTCTGGCCCCACCCTGACCCCTATAATTTTCATCTAGAGCCCCCACTGCTTTGGATGGCCTGAAAAAAAACAAAACACTTTTCATGCTCTAAGCAGAACTATAATTTGAAAGGAGATAATCTAATCCAATTCTTTAGCCTGTTTGGGTAAATCCTCTTCCAGCAAGGTTTTACATTAGATGTTCTTAAATCTTTTCTTGAGTTGTGTTTTCATCTCTTAAGAGATATTGCAAAGTTGAGTTTAAACTTAGAACTGGAAAGTTGTATTTATTTATTCAAGATTGGATTGCTGTAATTTATTGTCCACTAGCCTAGAAAGAGCATTTCTGATGTCTCTGCAGGTTGTTCAAAACGCAACTATTCTCTCCGGGTACTCCGGCCTTCTTCCACAGTCCAAAACATGACTGTTAGGTAACTGGCTTCTCTAAATTCTCTTTAGGTGTGAGTGGTTTTGGAGATAGGCACCAGCACCCCTTGCGACCCCATTTGGGATAAAGCGTGACAGAAAATGGATGTATGGATAGACGTCTTTACTACAGGGTGCTTAAAGGGGACCAGGACCATTTCTACATCCATTAATACATTCTACATCCCTGGCACATGTTGGCCCCTGTCTAGAAACACCCATGTTCCTTGGCCTCCATGACCACCATTGTTCACTAAAGGACCCCCCCCCCAAAAATCGGAATCCTCCACAAAACAAGTAGATTTCTACAGGAATTCAT